AGGTTGAAGACAGAAGGGAATACAAGAAAGCGTGGCTGAGGAACCATAAGCGTATTTATGTGGAAGAAAAAACATTTAAGTTGTGGCTGCATGCAAAATTTGATGCAGGTCGAGTCATTCAGCGACAGCGATTTTACTGATAGGAAAATAAAATAATGCCAGATATCACAGACATTTGTAGCATTTGCGAGGCAGATCGATGTTTATTCTACTACACATTATAATTGGAATACAGGTAAGCCTCAGGCGAACTCTATGGCTTTCATAAATATAGGCAGACTACGACTGCTCGTTCGAATCCTGAAGAAAGGGAATACACAAATTATTTCGTATGCTTTTTGGACATTCGAGCCACAAAAGAAGTGAATGTTTACAACTTTACATGCGTGTATTCAACTTTATATACATACCCTGTTTCTGCAAGGTTTATTGCTGGAAAGAGTACCATATAACCCCAGACATTAATTATGTATTCCACTTCTTTGTCTTTCACGACAAAACTTTAAAAACAAAGTCTACTAGTCTGAATGCATAAGTAATGTATGGGGTTATATGGTACTCTTGCCCTATTTTCTTTGCGTTTCGTCGTACAAGCACTTTTACATTTACAAAAGATCACCGAAGGTTCCTCAGTAAAAGAAATTCACTTTCATGAGCATTTGCTTTGGATAAACTTGATTTAAATGCAAAATATATGCAGAATTCTCCAACTCACTGATATTTCCATAATGGCCGTCGAGCGTGACAAGTCTCGGAGAGAGTGTATGCTACTGCGCATGTCAACCCGTGACAGTATCCCTTTAATTTCATTCGACCGTCGAAGCCACTAATTATTGAAATCAGTTGATTTGTAACACTGCCGGTGCTGATTGAATAGAAACTCTGCACTGGTTTACATCTCCCCTGACGCTAGCGGGAGTAGCGACCATGGCAACAGTTCACCGGTTAAGGGGCTTCCTTTTCGTTTGCTTTCTTTACTACACTTGTTTAATCGGCACAATCGTTGTCATGGGTCCGACTTTAATTCTTCTGTGTTTACAGCCAAGGTGGTTTCGCTGGGTTGATGACAATCTCATTGCAGTGTGGCTAGTTCTTCCCCCGGTAAGCGCTTACCATAATATCGTTCACGATTTTTTTTTTTTTTACCTTCCTACTTTCTTTCTTTTCAATGCTATTATTTAATCATTGTTTTGTTTTGGATATTTTTTGGAGTTGTGTGCAATCAAACGAGACAATTTTCGGTGGTTCGTCGAAACTTGCATCCGCCATTGCTTTGTTTTGGTTAAACTTGTAGTTTCACTTTCTATGGATTTCGACCAAAATATTTTGAATTATTCTTCTTTCTCCATTTCATGTAACTGGTTCTTGTGTGGAATCACGCAGGCGTTACTGGGTGAGTTGACCTAATAATCATTTTTAAGTAGCTATTCAGCTGTCTTCCAGCCATCGCGGTACAAAATTTTTATTCCAGGGCGAACGACTTTCTACATAAATGTTTCGCTGTATTTTTCTCAGAACGGCTGTATATTATGCGGAAGCGACAGTCCGAAATAACTGTCGTGAGTTACAGCCATTTACAACAGCTTGATCGAAGTTCGTAGGTCATGGTGAAAAAAAATCCATAATAGTACATACTTAAGCAATCTTCCTTGTCACCAGAAGATCGCTATTGCCTAAAAACTTATATTGGGTGAAACCTTTTACGAAACAGCTGTAGAGCTTAAGGGCATAAGCTAATGCTCTTGTGATTGCCTCGAAACGATTTACATATCACACATATATATCTCTGAGTTAGCGTTGCTGTCTATTTTTCTTTCTTCTTCAGTGGAAAAAAAAAAGGCCATAAGAATGAAGTGTTAGCCAAATATTTATTTACAGTAAGTCTAAGTTAAATTGGTATTTGTCCTAGACATCATCCGCAGTTAGATTGAGCCATACCACGAGTAAAAATTTACATATCAAATGCAGTATAATTATTATTCAACTACGCTTCGTAGAGTACAAATAACGCCATAGACGAGTACAAATGTCACGCGGTATTTGTACTGTAGAGTACCGGTTAAACAGGTTTTCTCGCATCGCGCAAGCGAAGAATTGAAGTTACGAAAAAAAAAAGGCGGACAATTTGAATCCTATTTCTGACGACGAAGAGTCAGAATGGCTGGCAAATATACATCCAAGTTTATTAGATCAATCGAACGAAGAAAAACAGCTAGACGACCTGGAAATTTCTTCATTTATTGAAGAAAAAAGAAACAGCAACACGACAACGCGCCAATTCCGTTCCGCTTTGCATACTTCTGTCACGCACTCCCCGTAAATAAATATCCGCGAAATTCGCCCGCACTGAAATAACAGTTTGGCGTGTTGGATAATAAATAACTTATTAGACGTTTTGTTGTGTAGTATCGCTGAGTATTTTTACTCGTTATTTGTATTTTGACTCGCCCTACAGGCTCGTCAAAATACGGCACAACTCATAAAAATACTCAGCGATACTATACAACAAAACGTCTGATAAGATATCTATACGACCCCCAGGGTATCCCTTCAGTCTTCTTTGTGTTTATATGCTGGTTCAAAGTTTAGATTGTCTTTTACTTTGACAAAGGCAATTTGCATCGTTATTTAAACCTTCAGTGTAAGTTCTTCATCTAAATCATATATTTTTACCGCTGAAAACAAGAAGGTATGGTAGAAAAGAAATGGAAAAGAAGATAATTTTTTGGACGTTGGACGCTGATATAAAAAATATCTGTGCGTGATCGATAAAACAATAAAGTATTTAACTAATAAGTAATAAGAACATTTTAGGAACTTCAACGAGGAAATCAAGCCATGCAAACGAAATGAGTGAAACTGATGGTTTGACTCGTTTTGTTTGATGAAAGAGAGCCTTTCAATCTTTACGTTGAACTGAAAGACTTTCAGGCAAACTGAATGCGCTGAATCAGTGAATGTGTTCAAGAACTGCTTACGGTGACAATTACATAATAACTTTTGTTGTTGTTGCTTAACGGTATGCGACCTGGTAAAACTCTTTGTCGAATAATCTTGTCCGCAATTAATAGTCTTTTTTGTAGTCATATAATTCAGTAGCGGAGTGTTGTGGACACCGTTCCAAAGGGTCTCGAGGTAAGTTTATGTTTCGAGCCGTCCCGCGATCCCGAAGGATCTCGACATTAGTTTACTTTAGTTTAGTTTTTGGTGTTTTCGTTCGACCAGTTTGTGATATGTTATAGGTTTATTTATGAGCTCTCGTGAGATAACTGCTGATTCTCTGAATCTTCTAAAATCATACACCACTTTCATAAATGGCTGCCGGATTGATATTCTTTTGCTTAAATTCAAATTAGCCTCACTAGCGTCGCTTGAGATAATGTATTCTTTTGAATTTTAAACTGGAGAACGAGGCCAGAAAGGCTAATTTAAAGTTAAACAAAAGAATATCAATCCGGCAGCCATTTATGAAAGTGTTCAATTAACGAATATTTCGCGCCCCACATTAAATTGTAAAAATTATGCCATGCATTCCTGAACAATTCGTACCCTAGATTATAAGGGTGGAGGCCTTAACTGATTGTGTGACACTTACGTGACCAAATGAACCTTGAATGGATATGCGAAGGGCAGTCAATTAGGACCTGTTTAGTTTTCTTTGTTTATTGTTTATTTATTTGTTTATTGTTTATTTATTATTATTTCTTTGGTTATGTATACGTGTAATTTTTAGTGTTCTAAGCGTGGGAAGAAACGTTATTTAATTACTTGTGTTGACAGAGAACATTAAGACAGGAGTATGTCTGACGTCCTCATGCCTAAGGGTGTAACCAGCTTTTCGACTTGTTGTAGACCTGTTCCCTAATAAGGAAGTTAAATTTTTGTACCAGGAGTCATAATTATCGCAATGTTTACTTCATTTCTTCAAGACCCATTAGTGGTCTGTTTCACGACTTTTATCGATCCACTGTCCTGTGAAAACTTAACTACAGCCGTTCGAGAACAATATGTACATATTCAAAACAATAAAATAGCCGGAAATTCATGACGCAAAACAAAATAGTTCACGAATCACGTTTAATTTAGCTCTTCATTCACGGGTCACGTTTAAATTAGCTCTTCATTCACGGGTCACGTCTAAATTAGCTCTTCATTCACGGGTCACGTTTAAATTAAAATTTGTTCTCGTGGACATGAAAGGATCTTACCAAAAAAAAAAAAAAAAGTGTAGGGGGCCCTCATATTATAAAAGTCAAGCGAACCCACGAGCCCTCCAGGCTGACTACGTCACTGTTCGCGCCGATGTTTTGTCGGATTCTTCGAGCTATTTGCGCGTTATCTTTGCGAGAGTGGCAAAGAAGAGGGGGAGAGATCCTAATTCCTTTTCGCGCACGATTTCTAAAAAAAGTCACGCGTCACGTGTACTTTAAACATTCATTTGCGCTTCACATAAACTGGAAAAGGGTAAACTATGCCCTTACGGTAAATTCACGCGCCACTCATCGTGTCACGTGTTAAGTATATATCATATCCACCCTCCAGATATCCTTCGTCAGTGAGTAGTTAGACAGTACGCCTAGATTAATGCATTCGAAAGTTCTTCCAGTTTTTGAGTCGATGTAGAAAGAACACGAGATAGCCATTAGTAACGCGTCAATCTGAACTTGAAAAGTCAACATTTCCTGCTGTTCAGGGATTCCTTCCAGAAAACCCTCCAAGCAGGAACATGAACCTACCAAAAGCTCGGAGCCTCTGCCTGCGTGTAGTGTTAGGACCTAGAACGAATACTGGCTGCAACTCTCCCAACAGCTTTTCGACCTTTATCTTCGCGATCCCAAAATAAATATTCATATTCTCCATACTGTTATCTCTACATTTTCGGTGGTACTAACAATTAGGAACTTCTTCAATTAATGTTCATTTGCTATACTCTCGCGACCTTTGCATCTGTTTCAAGGGTGATATTGTAAGGAGAAATTAGAAGCCGCCCACTCTAAGGTAATAAAGGGTAGGTAAAGCCTGCTTACGAGCCAAATGGCCCATCGGGCCAGCGCTTAACTCCGTTTTCCGTAGCAGTGAAGCGACTTGGAATATTTCCACTTCCCCCTGGATGGAATGCCAGTCCATCGCAAGGTTACCCCCAGCATTAAATTCGCCGGTACCCATTTATTCTACTTTCCTGGATGAAGTGAGGCACGGTGAGAGCGAAGTGTCTTGCCCAAGAATACAACACGTTGTCCTTGGCCAGGGCTCGAACCCAGACCACCCGATCTGGAGTCGAGCGTATGAGCCTTGAGGCCGCCGCACCTCACAAGGTAGTGAAGGGTTAAATTAATTCATTTTGTAATCAGCCTCATCCAACATGGTTTCAAGACTGATTTATCGACAAAAAATAGCCCAATATACTAAAATAAACGGACGGATCGTCTTCGAGAGTGACAGAGAGTGGTTCTTAGTAAAGCAGTTATTTTTATTATTAGTTATCCTTTTTTGTCGCAGGCTTCCCTTGGTATTCCGGAAGAAATGAAATAAAAAGCGAACACTCACACAAACAGATGCAAAAACTGAGGACAAACACAGATAGAACTGTAAACGGGCAATTATTTTGTCTACCTCGTTTTTCAGCACAAACATGATGCTTCTTGGTTACCCACAACTCCCTGTAAGCTTTTCAATAGAGCCCACGCACCTCATAAGCCAGCCGCAGTCTGTATCGCCGCACGCTTATAGTTGATCGTGTCACGCTTTCTCGCATCAATAGCTTTTCGCTTTCTCTAAACAGTGTTTTCAACGTAAAGGATTTTCAAAATGCTTAGAAACTTCGTTGGAGGGTTAATCTACAATTTTACCCTTTTTTTTTGTTCATTTTTTGGCTCTGTGTTTATCATGGGGCCGACAATTCCGCTGTTATGGCTGCGGCCGCAGTGGTTTCGATGGGCAAATGATCGATCGTGTTCGTTGTGGCTGATCTTACCGCCGGTGAGGAAAATTTGAAAGCAGTTTTAAAAATTCTGAAGCCTACATGCATTTTTTTTCATTAAGTTTTTGGGATTCTGAAAATTTTCTTTGTCTCTTTTATGAATAACGAATTTGCTGTTTTGTTTTTGTGATCGCAACCCTCCTCAACTTCCTTCGATCTTCAACATCGTGTTTGTGCGTTGAAAGGCTCTTCTTGGTGAGTGTTTTCGCTCAGATGCCAACGTTAATTAAATAGATAATGGTTCCAGGAAGATATCTTGTCTAGATATCACTAGAAATAAGTATCATTATTGAATAACTCATGGTTACATTAAATAATTCATGACAACACGGTTTATTTTACACTATTGTTGTACCTTTTTTAAGGGAGGGGGGTTTATCCTTTGTGTTATTTCAGGAGATGATCAAGTTACGAAAGAAAACAATTTTATCGATAAGTATGTCATAAACTTAGATAAGATTTCTATCTGACCCCACACTTCACTATGCATACAGTTATTTGATAACAACAAAACAATTTTGAAATCGGGTCTAATGATTTGTTGTTGAACATTTCTAGGTTATAAGGACATTTTTTCGACTAATCTCTTGATATGTTAGAGTCAGAATTTCAAGAAAAAAAATTATGAAGGGCAGTGTCATGAGAAGATGGCCCAATTTCTTTATTTTAAAATTCAGCGAATGAGACATCACCAAGTGACTGCAGGAAACCAAACTTCTCACGTAGTCCACAGATCTCCATGCTTAGTATATTTCTTAGCACTAGTTTTTAAAAGACTGAATGTGGACCATTCAGTACACACTGCTATGTCACCAAAAAAGACTCACCAAATACCACAACATAACAACTTATTAGAGACCTTAAGCAGTCAGGCAACACTAGGGAAGATGTTGATTAAAAAATGAATTGAAAATGGCTGTATGTGTTTATGGCCTTTTTTGGCACATCCTTGTTGTCATTGCTGTGGTGATTTCGGGTTGCTTAAAGTCTCTATTAAAACTTGCTGCAGTGTAAAGCCAAAACTAGCAGAATTAATAATTTGCTCTTTGTTTACTGATCAGTTAATGCTGTTAAGTCAGTCAACATTATATTAAGATGAATCAAGTACCACTGGAAAGGCATTTTGGCTTGAGAATAAACAGTGCCTCCTGCAGTATGGTGACTGCACCAATGTGGCATCTGACACTGAAACTTCTTGCTTGGAATTGTATCATCAGTCTTTCTTTTGACTTGTTTTTAACTTAACTCACAATTCCTTTTTGTGCTGGAGAAAAGTATGCCTGGTCTTGAGTCACAGTCGCAACTCAAAAAAGTGATGAACTGTGGAACATGCAGGTTCCAATTTATAGTCCAAATTAATGAACTACTGATATTCATTTTTCTCACAATGTTGAGTCACTCTAAATAACACTTGTAGTTTGCAACACTGAATTGCTTCCCAGCTGGTTTTGTCAGACAACTGAAGTGGTTTCAAACCTGAATATGTTTTGTGATAGATAAGGAAACATTGATGTTTCTCACCCCTCTTTTTTGCTCTCAATTTGACACAGTTTTGACATAATTTTTATTCTCTGTAGAAAACATGTTGAACATAAAATTTTCTCAAACTAATATCACAAGAAAGTAAACAGCAGGAAATGTACTGTCCAAAGTTTTTGTTAGTTTTGACTTTTCCCATGATCAATTGATGTCTCCTCACAACTGACTGATATAATATATTTTTTTTTTATGTAAATACCAAAATATCATTGAATTTGAAATGAAAATCAATTTTCCATAAATTGATGTTCTTTGTGATTGTTTCAACTTATCTACAGCCATACTTGACCCATTTTAATTTCAAGAAGAATAAAATGCAAGTTTGATGACTGATGATTATTTTCCTCCCTCAATGCACAGAGATGATGTTTGGAGTCAAGGTTATAGTCACTGGGGACAAGCCTCCAAAAAGTGAGAATTCTGTTATCATCATGAACCACAGATGCCGTCTTGATTGGATGTTCTTTTGGAGCTACATGGCACGATATGGGGAGTTGAAGCACGAGAAGATAATAATGAAACATGAACTCAAACATATTCCTGGTCCCGGTGAGTGTTTTCGTTGTTTTCTTACAAGTTACAGGGTTCAAGGATCAACCCTTTTTTTTTTTTTTTGAATTTGCCTCTTGGGGACCCAAAATCCTGAAATGGTTGTGTGGAATAAAAATTTGTTTGCCAGTGAAGGACTCTTTGTTCACCATTACATGATTTACCATATTGCTGACCCCTCTGCTTGGGAGCAGTATGGCTAGCATTTGTTTTTAAAGGTTCAGAGAACATCTTGAGCCTCATACTAGGGCCATTTACCCTTTACAATGTAACTCCCATGAGTGACCAAGACAGAATTTCTCCTCACAATATCAAATACAATAGCAAGGAGACAGGTGATGAGAAAAAAGAAAGAGATCAGTTAGGAGATTATTAGTTGATCCAATACCAATTTCTTTAAACTAACTCCTTAAGAATTGTATGGCAGTCAGTAAAGAGAATTGCTAACAAGATCTTGAGTGTGAAAGTGTGGATGGTGTCTTTTTGTTGAGAAGTTTTCCAATCTTGGCATGCAAGTTTTGAATTGGTTGCAATCATTTCTATGTACTTTAATTGAAAATTCTCCAACAAAGAATTGATTCTCCAAGGTGGACTGCAGTTTTAGCAGTTGTAGGAAAAAAAACCTGAAAAAATTCAGGCTTCAACATATTTTGTTTATTTATTTGTCAAAAAAGGTATCTACTTTATTTAAGAGAAATTACTTCCAGTTTTCTAGCAGACTGTTTTATAATTCTTTTTTGGTCAAGAAAGTACTCTTTAAGTGACAGTGTCAATGTTACAAATATTGCCAATTTGCAGAGTGATGCTAGTAAAATTATTTCGGGAAAGGTGATTATGCAAACAGCTAAGGAGACACTTCAGTTTTGCCAAGCTGGGAAATTCTGGTGTACGGCAAAATTGCCAGATATAAAACTATTTATTAAGTAACACATAAGACTAAAATGCATAAAGCACCCATCAGAATCAAGATTCCATTTGTAAATATATGGTAAATAAACTTACATAAACTTTGAATTAGATCCCCTTGTAACCCTTTACATCCTGACATCAGTATGCATATTCTCCATACTGTTCTCTACACATTTCCTACGGTACTGACAAGGAGAATTTATTCACCGATCAAGAGCTTGTGTTGGTGATCATTTACTTTATTCTCATGACCTAACTGTTTGACTCAGCAGCGATAGTGTATGGAGAAATAGCCAGAAGAAATGTATGGAGAAAGCCAGTTACTTTTAGGAGTTATAGGGTTAACTGAGGTTTCAATAACATTTTTTTCTATAAATGGCTGCTGATGGTGTAATGGGTGGCAGAACTATAAGGCAAAATCTGAACACAAGAAGCTGCTGGCAGGCTACACTGCTTGTAACTGGCTTTTATTAAAACCCCTGTTTTAAAGAATTTTGTTCTCATTCTCAGGTTGGGCCATGCAGAATGCCCTTTACATTTTCTTGTGTCGCCGTTGGGAAAAGGATGAGAGCTACCTTAATTCAGTCCTCAGTTACTTTGTCAACTCCTCAGATAGTTTGCAGCTGCTCTTGTTTCCTGAGGGTACCAACTTTGAGGAGGCAAGCAAACAGAAGAGTGATTCCTTTGCATCAAAAAATAATCTTCCCTTTTACAACTATGTTCTACACCCACGTGTTCGTGGTTTCACGTACTGCATTGAGAAACTCCGCCAGGGAAATCTAGATGCTATTCTTGATGTCACAGTTGGCTATTCTGATAATTATTGTTTTGAAGAAGTTGATCTACTGAAAGGAAACGTACCAAGTGAAATTCATTTTCACATTCAGCGATATTCTAATGATACACTTCCACAAGATACACAAGGTCTTGAAGAATGGTGTTGTAAACAGTGGAAGGAAAAGGAGGAGAGACTGAAAAAATTTTACACCCAGGAGAAACATTTTGGCCCTCCTTCTGAAATAGCAAGTGAACAGCAGAGTGAGGTTCAGTTAGCCGTGAGTCATTTGTTTAAAAAAGGGCTTCTCTTCTGGCTTGTGTTCACAATCTGTTCATCAGTGCTTATGTACACGTCTGCAATGGTTAGATGGTATGTTTTAATTATTGGAATTGTATACTTAGTACTTTCCCTTTTGGGGGGAACAGACAAAATATTTCTACAGCTGATGCGGAAGTCAACGGATACCAAGACAAAGTAAGGAGCGATGGTGAACAGAGTCATGTTCAGTCCTTGGCTGAAATATAATGGCACTGACTCTGGTTGTTATTCAAGTAAAGTTGATTTTCAGACTTGGCAAGTTTGATGTATTTAACATTTTACTCCCAAGTGCTTTACATCAATTTTTTGTACTGTATATCATATACATAAACTCTTTTACAATTTGAGCTGTTTCTCTAAGAGTATGGTGTAAAATCAAAGTAACATAACTTTTCTTTAGTTGAAATGTTACTTTCTTGTTACAACCTTAAAGATTGAAGGTGCATTGAGTTTGCAAAGGAAATTTCATAACAGTGGTCACCGGTGGGTGTGGAATTATTTTAACTGGTAATTGGTCATGTACAGGTAATTGTGTTTCATACAAATTATTGATCAAATTGGCAGTAAACCCATGTAGAATATTGCAATAACCTTGCCTGTAAGCAAGCTCTTGATTACAGGCAGGAATTAATTGTGTAGAAAGACGTACTAAGAAACTTCAACAATGCAATAAACTGGCATTGATTGATAAAAGATTTTAACCCCTTTTTCCCTAATATCTGCAGGCGTATTATCCATATGCCTATTTATACATTTCCAAGGGTGCCGCCAAGGAGAATTTGTTTAAAAATCAGGAGTTTCTTTAGTTGGTGATCATTTCCTTTTTTTCTCATTACCTTAATGTGAGATTCTGAGGTGATATTGTTAGGAGAAATTAGATGCTGGTCATTCTTAGACATCAAATGGTTAAGGAAGGCTGTAGTAGACTTCATTCTTTTAAACTCCACGCATTACTGTGGCCTTTTTAAGTTTGTTTTATCTTGTGCAAAAGAGTTATTAATTTTAAAATTCTAGAAAATCATCCTTGCTCATGAAAAGAACTTTATTCCAAATGAGGGATGAGATGGGGTTTTGATTCAGAGCTTTTGTTGAACAAAACTGACCAAAGCTGCCAAAACTCTCAACACATGGCCCCTTTAAGCATCAGTATCTGTTAAGTGATGTTGATGTCATTGAAAATTTACTGAAACAGTACAAAAACACAATGGATTGCATAGTGCGATCATCTAGTTGATTGTAGCCCAGCGAAGGACAGTTGTCAGTAAGAGCGACTGACATCATCAGGGTCACATCACTTACTTGACGAAAGTGAGCAGAGCCCTCTTATTGCAGAATGTCTATTAAATACTGTCAAAGATGTTAATTCTCCAAACAAGAATTTTAATTCATCTGTCTTTGGAGATACATAACACTTTTTTTTAATTACTGTAATTAGGTAGAGTTAAAAATTACTTGACTCAGCTGCAGGTTCAGCATGATTCAGTGGGTAGCTCTAGGAAAGGGAATTTTTTTTTATCTAATTAATTGTGTATCTACAGGCGTCCCAAGTTCACATCTCGAGCAAAAGCGAAGGATTATTTCATGAATGCGTCACGCGGTGTGTGATGCGGTGTTAAGTTACGCAAGCAACCGTTGAGAATTTGAATGTGTTATAAGAAGTAGTATGGGGAATAAAATATGGTCCTTTTAAAACACTAAATATTCTGAAATATAAATATTTTACACGTTCTATTAATAAATTAAAACTTACTCGTTCCTTGTGTTTCCGTTGTGTCTTTTTGGCGGTTACTGTCATTTTGGGCTTGCTTTTCCATCACAGGAAAAACAGTGATAGCAAAGCAGCCCAAAACGACGGAAATCACCAAAAAACACAACGGAAACGCAAGGAATGAGTAAGTTTTATTTTAATAGAACATGTAAAATATTCATATTTCGGAATATTTAGTGTTTTAAATGGACCATATTTTATTCCCCATACTATTCCTTATAAGGCATTCAAATTATCAACAGTTGCTCACATAACTTAACACAGTGTCACACAACTTGTGACACATTCATGAAATAATCCTACGCTTTTGCTTGAGACGTGGGCTTGGGAGGCCTGTGGTGTATCAAGGTCAGGAAACTCAGTAAACCAACAAATGAGAGTGTTGGGGGTGTATGTAAATCATATTAAATTGAAGGACAACAAGGCATAGTGTGATAAAATGTAGCAGCATGGACCTCTCATGAAAGCAGACATGATTATTTATTCCTGTATGTGCATGCAAATCAGTTTGCTTTTGCCTGGCTTTTAGTGAAAACTCTGGCTATTGTTGTCGATCATGATCTCAAGGCTAGAGAGGCTAGAGAGGCTAGCTGATGTGATGATAAAAAAAGAAAGAGGTCTGTTGAGGAGCTTTTCTTGGGCCAATATTTGTGGCTCAATCTGGCTGCTCTTATTTTCAACAACTGTTTTTGTTTTGTTAAATTTTGTGGTGGTAATGACTGGTTGCGCGAGGGAGGACGGAGTTAAAAATCAATCACTTGGGTTAGGCTGCTCATATAATGGAGAATTGTACTTCAGGGAACCAATTTTTATCTTAGTCATTGAAATGTATCCATCAAACTTTACATTCAGCCATGTACTAAGATTCCTAGTAGTAACTTGACCTTTCAAAGTGAGGACAGTCATTGTTTCAAAAATTCTTTTAATTAAATAATTATGATGTTTAACAGGTGGGAGGTTTCTATGGGAAAAACTGTGCCCCAGGTCTTGAGTATGGCTGAGGCTTAAGGCCCTATATTGCACTTAACCAAGGGACTATACTGATAAATAATTTATAAATATTTTTCCTTCTTTCTGCAACAGTTTCAGTTTGCTGCGAATAGAGCACAAAAAATTATGGACCTTAGTATGTATTGTAAGATTTAAGATGCTTGTGAAAGAATAAATTTCTTTTTAGTCTGCTCTCTTTAAAAGTAGCAAGCATTCATTTCCTTCCATGTAGATTTTGATTTTAAAAGATCTGTTGATGAGACATGTGAAGTGAAACTTCAAGAGTTCAGCTTTCTGAGCATTATTAGCCACCCCACAGAAAAAACCTATTTTTCTATTTGAAAAAAGTGAGAGACCTAGACAAATCAAGGCAGAGTACAAGCTCAATCAACCCATGTTGTCTTAGATGTACAAAAGAAGTTATGTTATTTAATCTGATAACATCACATATATAATGATTAAATTTGTTTTACTGTTTTCTACCACTGAGGCACCTGAAATCCGTCCAACTTCCCCCCCTCGTATTTGTGAAAACTGATTGAAATCAAGTTGATTTTGTGCTTTGCCGTAGCCTTGAAGGTTTAAACTATGAACCGTCCAAACCATACATGCATACATACATACATGCATATTTTTTTTGGTAATGCAGGTTACAGAATACGCAAGACTGAAGTCCTGATGTGGTCCTGCCTATTTACTATCTATCTAAGTTAAATAATAATAGTAATAATACAAATGTAAAAATATAAAACTATAAACTACAATTTAAGATAAGATTATTAAAGAAATTCCTCACTCCTGTTTCTTATCATGGAAGATTCCTTATTATAGCTTATGGAATTAATTAAGTCCTTGCTAGATGTAAGTCTTTTCCTAAAACATTCTAAGCTAGATTTTATCAAATCAGGAAGTAAATTCCACGCAATGGCAGCTCTATACTTAAAAGTCAGCCTGCCAATTTCTGTTTTAGGACTTAGAAATTCAATATTCATTGATTTCCTCAGGCAGTGAGATGATTGTTTTAACATTACTAGATCATTTAAAACATTGGCATTGCATCTATGGTAGGATTTATACGCTTCTACTAACAGTCTCTTAGTATAGTAAAAAGATAAATTGTTCCAGCCTTTCAATTTATTTAATTGATCAGCATTCGAATTCCTTGAAAGTTTAAAAATAAGTTTAGAAGCTCGTATATGAGCACGCTCAAGATCATCCATTAGTGCAGGTGAGCAGGAACACCATACTACTATTCCGTATAAGATACTTGGAAGTACAGTCCTAAAATAAATGGTCTGTAGAATGGATGATGGCAAGAATTTAATACTTCTGAGGACTGCTATTTTCTTATTAAAAGATTTTAACAGATTTTTAGTGTGTTCTTGCCAAGAAAGATTACTGTCTATAGTTACTCCTACACATTTACTTGATGATTTAAATGCAATAAATTTTTCACCATATCTCAAAGGCAACAATGGACCGATGAATCTTTGTTTAGATAATAATAAGGGTTCTGACTTAGTTTCATGAGCAATCAATCTGTTAGCACCATGCCAACTAAGAACTTGATCCAGTATAACTTGCATGGCCTTAATTATAATATATATTATCACTTACTGTAAATATGGTAGTATCATCAGCAAACATATAAAGTTCTCCTGAGGTTACAAATTCAGGAAAGTCATTGACATAAAACAGTTTGGGTCCTAAGATTGACCCTTGTGGTGCTCCAAACATGATAGAGCTAATGTCTGATTTCACTTCATTAACTTGAACAAATTGGTTACGATTTAGCAGGTAGCTTCCCATCCAAGATAGTAAATTTCTTGATATACCAACAGCTTTCAACTTTTGTAATAGGATGGTATGGTTCAGCGAGTCAAAGGCCTTTCTGAAGTCAATAAACAGTACACCAATTTTAAGATTATTATCTAGGGCCCACTTCCAAGTGTCAGTAAGATGAAGAAGGAGACCCTCTGTAGAATGATTTTTGTGAAAGCCCCATTGATTGTCTCTAAGCAGGTTCTGAGTTTCAATGTGAATGTCTATGCGTGAGAGTTTCCAGTTTGTTAGAAAAACTGCATCATCTATACTTTTCTTAAAAACTGGCTTCAGGCTATGGATAGAAGATTCCCCAAGGAGTTTAAGGTCCTTGGGTGAAACTAGGTCCGGTCCAGTAGCTTTATTCGGATTTGATGATTTTTCAATTTTCGTCTTCACTAGCTCCCAATTTAACTCTGTCACATCTTGTAGGAGTGACTCTTGTTACATAAGATGTTAAGGTGTTTGGATCAAGAGGTTCAAAATTCTTTGTAAGTTCTGTACTGATATTAATAATCTCATTAATGTAAGAAGCTTTTTCTAGCAACGAAGAAGTTCTTTATCTATTTATTTATTGACTTATTTACATATTTTGGGGCGAGTGCAAGGTATTTTGATGGCAAGTTGCCTGCGTTGTTTTCGCGCCTATTGTTCCCGCCACTCAGTGACATACGGGTTTAACACGCTGTCTGATTGGTTATTTTTTTAAGACTTGTGGCCCTGTGGTTGGTTACAATTTGCTGCAGCCGCGGATGGAGAGAAGGTAACGTGTGTAAGAGTGTTTGTGCTTTGCAGAAACTGTACAATGGCTCAATTGCCAACTTATTTTAAGGAGGCTGGATATAGTTTCTTTGGCACGCGCAAACTGGGTTGTAATTTACCCGGGACTTTTAAAAGTTGCAAAAAAAAAATACACAAACAAACAAACATGGCCGCCGCGCTTAGGCCAGAATCATACTTTCATCTGCCTAGTAGACTATGTTTTACGCCTCTAGGTAGGGTGCCTACACTTTCTTCTAACTTTATTAGTAGTATGTTTCAAAAAACGGAAAGCTACAACACTCTCAAGCGACCAAAATACGCGTGAATCCGGCCGCAAACTGGATCGCGATCG